AAAATACAAACTAGGTAATGTTCCAAGCAGGCTGAAAAGAATACAATTTAACACTGGTTATTTTCTTCCCTTCTATCCCAACGCGAAATGTAATTAATTCTTTATTATTTAAACAGCTTTACCATTTAGAGCTCTGTTTATTGGCTTTCAAGAAAATGCAATATACCTCCCTGTAAATATTTTGTCATTGAAACCTGTTTGTGTAAGGTTTTGAATAGCACTTCAGTCTTTATTTGGAAAATCATGCTCCTGCAGCTCCAAATAAACTAAGAAAAAGCTCAGAGAGCCATTAGGATCTTCAGGAGGTCAGACTCCCATTGCAGATGGGGTTTGAAAGGAGATCTGTGTCAGGACCAACGTGTTTGCTCAGACTTGTGCAATGCACCCATGGGCACAGGTATGAAAATGTCCCTGTGATTGACAAGTCAAAACTCACAATGGTTTAGGTGCAAAATAAGTAAAAACGGAGCTATGTTTTGTTGAACACTAAAGGCGACTGGCTGCAAGAAAGCCCAATTGCTCACTCTGCAAGAAATTGTGGACAAAGTTATTGCAATTATTCCCACTGAGCCTAAAATGAGCAAAAAGGAAGTGCTAAACACATGATTCCAGACTTTTAGTAGAACAACTTAAGCTGCACAAAAGTGACATTAAAGCAGTGTAGAGCAAAGTGGCGACACTCTCATGTGGGTCTCCTTCTCTGGGCCCAGGGGCAGGGAAAAGTAGGAACCACTTCCCCATAGCAGAGGCAGGTCTATTTGGAAGAAATTACAAATATCCAGAGATATTTTTAATTAACTAGCAGAGATGTGACTTGCACACCTCCCTGGAAAACTGCGATAAGTTGAAAGTTCTCAGACCTTATACATACAGCACAAAACTGATGTCAGGCTAAATGTCAGAATTAAAAGTTATTGCAATTAAATGCCTGAATCAAAGTAGCCTAACCCAAATGCTCAACCCCCTCACACATTCCTGATTTAAAAAAACAAACAAACAAAAAAAAACAACTACACAACAGAACCCAGTTCTTCCTCCCCACCCTATTTCATAGGATGGAGTCATTGAAAATAGGAAGTATTCCACAAAAAGAAGAAGTTGTTTTGTTCCATTACAGACAAAACTATTCCACAGCTTGTTTTCTCCTCATTATTTGGTGAGGGAACCAACATCTTTGAACACACAGTTCAAAACTCGCTCTGAATCATTTCTCTTCTTTCTGATCTTTCCTATATGCTCATCGCAATATCATCAGTGCATTTCATTACCCATTCTAGGGAAGAAATTGCCTTTTCTCAGAGTCATTCAAAGGTGAGAGCAAGAGCAAAGTTTTTCCTTCATTTATGGTAAGCCATCTGTGTTGGGGAGGGAAGGAGAGAGAACTGGAGAACATTCAGGTGTACCTGTGGATTTCAGACTTGAGATGCAACTGGGAGCCCTCAGACCCCAGGGTCATGAACTGAGCATCCAGAAAAACACACATCACACTGGGATTTCCAAAACACACGACTGGAGTGACCTTCACACAAGTGCTGTCATTGAGACAAGCTCGGAAGGCAAGATTCCCCTGGAGCATTCAGGTCCATTAGCTAGGATATTGCTCTTCATCTGTCTGCAGACCCTTGTCTCGCCTACGCGCTTTCCAAGATCTGCAACAAGTGAAATAGGGCCGTGCCAGCCGTAACCTCCAGCATATTATAGCCCTGCTTTATCTGCAGGACTTGTTCGTACTCTGCTTCCCCCATCAGCAGAAGCCAGACTGAGATCAGGGCAATCTCCTCTTTATAATTCAAAGCAACACATTGATCAGAAAAATGTGTGTCTGCATGGCCAGTTGGGATGAAATCACTCAAAACAGGAACTTACTGCCAAATATGAAGTTATTCACCTTCTAGAGAGCTCCGGTTTATAGAGAACATAAGTTTCTGTCCCGAAATATACCCAGTAGCAACTGAAACATGAAAGCACTCAAAACAGAAATGTGCTGGCAAACATGAAATGCAAATGTACTCATTGCCAAAGAGCCCCACTATGTGCAGAACATAAGTCTGAATCCCAAAATAATACCCAGTACCAACTGAAACACACACATTTCCCCACATCTTGTCTTGCTTCCTTCAATTTAGCAGCACAATGAAGCAATTTCCATAGTTAACATATGCACTATACTAAGGGTAGCCAAGATTTAACATTCTTTTGTTAATTTGGCAGAGGGGAAAGACACAATAGGAGAGAGCCCTACAATTTGCAGCCATCTGTGATACTGAAAACAGTAATAAACTTGAAAAGTGCTGTTATTATACATGTTATCACTCCTAGGAAGCCAATGTCTTCAAACATTTATACTTTTTATGTCTAAATTAATGCTTCTTAATTTCTGTAGGAAGGAAGTGTTTTCAGACGTCTCTTCCCATTATATGACCATTAATCTTGTCCACTGGTTTGAGCTCCTGTAGTACAATACCATTTACACTGTCAGAGATCACTGGCTAAGTCATACTCAATTATAAATGTAAGACGCTAAATTACTTAATGCTGTTATTTTTGGGGTTGTGACAGGCTCCACTAGCACTCAGTGTCTTAGGCCACTTCATCTTCCCGCAGAGAACACCTCCCAGCCTGACGGGGCACATCTATCACTGAACTCACCGCTTCGCTTATGAAGTGAACCTGAAGTTTCACGACTGACAATAAAACCAATATTTTAAATTAAAATGTGTGTAAGAATATTCATAGGCTTCTTAGAGTGACAGGTCGATACGCGATTGCATCCCCCACCCCCGCCTGGATATGTTTGCTGTCCTGATGATGAATCTCCCATTTACCTTCTGCTGGGAAAAAAATCACACAGACTTCTCAGCGTGCAAGCGCCGCGGGTCACATCCATCATCCTCAGGCCTCTGTTTTACTTTTAATTACACCGCTCCACTCAGGAACGCTACTTCACATCATAAACGTAAGGAGAATGTAGCTTTTAATTTGCAGAACAGCCATTAAATTCCCTGCTTCAGTGACATCAATTTGCTGGTGCTCCTTGTACTAAGCAAGAGATGATGTTACCTTTCTTTCAGGCTTCACAAGAGGATAAGTTTGCCCAAAGTCACAATCACTTTACAATTAGTCGTATCTCATGTCCACATGCTTCCTGCGATGCTGCATTTAACTCAGGCCTCCACAGAGAATCGTTTCCAATTAGCAGCAGGCAAAGTGATGGCTGCATGTTTTTAAACGGATAATTTAAGACCGATTGTTATGCCTGAGCCAGACATTTCAATTTGGACATCCCAGTTTAACATTACCCAGTGCGGCTTTTTGTTTACGTGTGCAGGCAGACCCCATTTTCCTGGGATCAGAAGGATGAGGAGTTTGACACCAAACTAAAAGTTTGCTGAAACACGAACCAAAAAGTGGTCAGAGCAACGTCGTACTGGCTTCTCCTGAACAGAAGCAGAATTTGAGGCCTCAGTGTTGCCCTCCTCATGATCCTGATGCCAGCTAAGGCTTCTGCCACCCACCCACCCCCATGCTGCTCCAGTACCCATGGGCATCCCCATGAGCAAGTCTCCAGTCTGGCTTTGGGGGCACACGCATCCCCCAGGTGGGGCTTGCCAGACAGATCTGATGGTCACATATGGATCTTAGAAAGCCAGAGGATCACTCAGCCACTGTGAGATTTATGACAGGACGTCAGATTTACCACAAGAATTAAGCCCCCAAAAAGATATACTTAATTTTTCCTGTGACATTGACATCTTTCTTAGTGTTATATTATGTACTCTGATGGGAATTTCCAATGTTCTCAGTATTTGCCTTAGCCTGTTACTGGGAAGGTTAACAGAAAAATCAGCATTAACCTCAATGAGAACAGAGAGAATGAGAAGCTTTTGGGTTTCTGTTCATCATTTGACTTTTTTTTTTTTTTTTAAAAAAAAAAAAGCTTTCTTACACAGTGAGATCCCACACATTTTGTGCATCACATTTACACACCTAAAATCCAGATGAGCATTGCATAGACCAGACAGCAACAATAACGCGTGTTTCCGACATGAAGCACAACTCCACAGCAACTCGAGCATTTGATTTGGTACAGAAGGGCCGGGATATCGGGGTTCTGAGCATTTCGGTGTCTGCAGCAAGAACCAGCAGGAGCAGCCTCATTCAGCACGAGGACAGAACGGCAGGGGAGATGCTTCCTAAGGCGGGAAATAACATTGCTCTGCCACTTTTATTTCCATATAAATCAAAACTTGTCCTTCCAGGAGTGCTGCTGGTACCAAATTACCCTCGCACAACAAGCTTTTGCTCAAGGAAAATAAATTCCTTGAGAGAAGATATGCCTAAAATCCAGTAGCCTTTTACCAGAATCAAGACTATTTGCCACAGAGAGCAAATGCAGAATCACCTGGAATAATTCTCATCCTGCAACAATGTATTTCCATAGAAGCCCAAATTGCAGATTTGATCTTAAACAAAAGCTTGCTTAAAGAACTGTTCATTTATTCAGATATGAGCATGTAAAATACTTTAAAATAGGTTAAATTCGAATGGTTTAAAGTATTAATGGAAACTTTATCCAAAGTGCCTATATGTCTGAAAGTAGCTGGTTAATGTTTTTCTCTTTTTTTTAAAGAAACTAGCTTAGAAAAACATAGTCCAGTAGGGTTTTAATAGATGTAAATAATATTCTGATAAAGGGATATAATGGAGGTAGTTAACGGGTAGTTGAGCTGATAGCGTGAAAACGAATTCCCTGCTTGAATATCAGGACTTACATGTGCAGCATTCAGGAATAGAATGAGCAAAACTTTCACAGCTTGGGCTCACAGGCTCCATGGTACTACTTCTATTATTGATATAGAGAAAGGGATGAGCAACGGGGCAAGATCTGCAGATGGTAACAGCAATCAGTCAAACCTAATGGAGACCATAAAGAACACTGAAATTGAGTGAACTTGAGGCCAGATTAAACTCACTGTTAACAAATGATACACAAAAGAAACTGGAGGATATAATCAGATTTATTTGAAAATCTTGTCTGATTTTAAGTTACTTGCATTGTGACCTGAGGGATACAAAAAAATAAATGCAGAACTAAACCTGAGAGCACCTCTGCCACACACAGAGCCACAGACAGGGCCCTGCCAGGCGGGGAGGGAGGTGGAGGACACCAGCCCAGATCCCTCACATGCCTGTTGCATCTGAAGGCAACACTTCTGCAGCAGGAATATTGGATCCAGGATGGCTCGCAGAGATCCAGCACCCTCGGGATCACCGCAATAACCAAGCTCTGGAGAAAGCTGCTCCTGCCAAGAGGAAACACTGGAGCTGCCCCCATCAGAAGGGGCATCGCAGGGACCGTAGGTAAGTGATGGTCAGGGCAGGACACTGGCATTCATCGCAGCACAAGCAGCAAGTTCAAGTGCAAGCAGAAGTGGAGCTCCTGGAGCACCTCGTTGGGAGGAGGCAGGGCTCAGCAGTGGGCACAGGCTGCACAATGACCACGCAGCACCCCAAGCCTGCAGCTCCAGCAAGAGTCAGACTCCTGGGATGCAACAAAAGGAAAATAAGAGGAACATTTTTGTGTGTGTGTGTGTTTTTAATTTCCTCCTGAAGACTGCACACTGCCAGTAAAATGTACCTAATATCTGGTAAATCTAGATGGTTAGACGATATAGCAGTTGTATAAAATGTAATAGATGGTGAGCTCGTTTTTAACTAAGGATGAGAAATGCCGTCCTCAGTAATTGCATGAAAATCTTGGAATGGTAAGGAGAGAAAAGAGCAAGGAGAAAGATAAAAATAGAGGAAAACTGACATCAAAAGATTCCAATTTTACTTTCTATTTCTTCGTTCCTTAACCTTCAAGTAATTTGAGATGGGAAGAAATCTCTCAGAACAGAAGATTTAGTTTTATATTAGAAAAAGAAAATCAATGTTTTTCAAATGGCAGTTTATAAATTTATGATTAACTTTTACAATCTTATACAGTTTTAGTAATTTGCAAGATACTTCAAAGACAATATATTATCATTAAAAACCTATAAAGCAAAACACCAAATGTCATGAAACTCAATTAAAAAAAAAATAAAAATATTCTAACCAGCAGTAAATACTGGTGTTTTATTTGACTGTGGGCTTTTGAGCCTTTGGACTTCACGTTTGTAAGCTATCCTCTGCAAACAAAGGACAGAAATATATTTTTCATTAAAAGTGTGAAGCAAGAAGTCCCATCAACAATATCTAATCCAACCCTGCGAGCAAGTCTGAGGCACAAAGCCCTGCAGATCTGCAGAGTGTGATTTTAGCCAAGCTTCCCTCTCCATCATTTGCTGCAATTTTTTGTTTGTTTGTTCTGAGATGGCATAAAGCTACTCTGAAACCTGCCTTTGAGATTCACACCAGAGATCTGGGGACAACCTCCTGGCTTGTACAATAAGAGCTGTGGTTACATTATTTATTTTACTTACTTACTGTTGCATTCAAAATTTGTTTATTTGAACTGATAAGGGGATTTTTATTTTATTAATGATGTACTAATTGGAAGTGTCACATGAAAGAATTGGACAAATTATGAATTTTGGATCCGGCTTTAAAATATCCTGAAAGTCCTCAGAAATGGGACCAAACTTTACTGGGTTATACCACTGCTGTGAGCAGCCAGGCTTATGCAAGAATTTATGTGAGATACGAATTGCTGGGAAATGTGAAAAGGTGAGCAGTCCTTTCACCCACCCTCTCAAAGAAATAAAAAAAAAAGAATCATAAACAATGCTAACACAGGAGCACCACAAGCTGCTCCTCCTGGCACCTCTGACAGAGCATCCAGCGCTCCCAACAACCTCTGCAAAACTGCCCCTGAAACCCAAACATTTTAATTTATTGCTTTCCATGAGGCTGAGAAATGTAAGGGAGGCTGCTTTGCCCATCAGCTCCCACAGGCCCCCCCAGCCTGAAAGTGGGAGCAGAGATTAGCTCACCCTCCCAGGCAGCAACTTCAGCGCCTCCTTGAGCAATGACTTTACATTAGCTGCTGCACAAACCTGCTTAATGAAATACTAAATGCGCGAGGGCTGGCGTTCGTGAGGGAAGGTCGCGCCTGTAGGGCCATTATTCAGCTACACTCGATTGTGCCTTGGGAAGCGGGTTAACAAAATCTCATTGCTCAAAAAGCCTTCGGAATGACTTCGCTTTCAAAGCTTTGCACTCTGTGTTCCTAGAGAGCCCAGGTATGCAATTTTTCAGAGGAGAAATGCCATTTGGTAATTAGCTTAAGTGATGCAATTTTCTTCCAAGGATAACAACGCTGACTCGTAGCGTCTGACGGCTGGTGACCTTTGCAGCTGCAGCTTCGTCCTGGAGAAGGACACGAGAACAAAAAGGGGAAGAGAAGCCCTACAGCTGGCGACACAGGCACACCCTCATACTCGCAGTGGGTACCAACAGGTTGGTAATGGGAACAGCCCACAAAGTAAATCGCCTTGATTCTCTTTCACTGCTTTACAGCTTATGATGCACCACCACCGTGTATTACCACTGAGCTAACATTCAAGATTTTTTTTTTTCCTTGATATTTTATGACAGTGATTTCTTTCCTGGGTTAAATAGTAAAGCCTGCAATATCCCAGGTTGTGCGACCAGCAAAAAGCCAAGCGGTCAGCCCCCGAGCCCCTCCACAGGAGGGCCTGACTGGTGCTCAGGTGCCACCGCAGCAGCTGTTGGTTGTTCAGCAGTGGTCAATGTTGGTTATTTCAGAAGTGATCAACCCAGAGAACAGCGCACTGATGAGAAATGGAAACCACAGGAGCTGCTGGGCTTGCTGCACGCACACAAATAGCCTGTTTCCAAACCTACACAAATTCAGACCACCAGGCCATTTGTCGAGGTGTGACTGTCACCCTCGCCACTTCCTGCTGAGGGCCGCATTGGCAGGCAGTGAGCGTAATCACCAGTCATTTCTGCTGAAAGATTTCCAAGCCTAATGTTTCTGGGATTATGCCCAGGATGGCAAGAGAAAGATCAATCTCAGCTACCTTCGGTGCGGCAGAAATTGATGCAGGGATATCTGCCAAGAGGCAACCTGAGGCAGCGCTGCAGTAGATGTTAACATGCCCTAATTTGTTTCATGCTCATCAAGAATAAGCAAGATGCACCAAATTAACATACCAGACTTAGGGCTCACTAACGTGGGTGAGCGTACAGCAGAACTTGTTGGGGGGAGGGAGGAGGGAACAGTCATTCCAAAAAGATTTTCTTCATCTCTGGTCATTCTGAGAGCTAATAGTTGGATGAATCTGCATTTTTGGACATATTTTATCATTTATCATTGTATAAAGGTGTTTGTGGTCTAGCTAGCAAAACAAGTACAGAAAAGGCTACAAAAGGGAAAAAATATCCTTAAAGGAAAAAAGTATCTTTCAGTCTCTTATGAACTGATTTTACTTTTCCTGAGGAGCTTATCAAAACACTCCTATCAGACTAGGAACAACTTCTGTTTTCAATAACCAGAAGCCTCCATCCTGACCAGCTGTAACCACAGATGCCTCTGCACATGAGCCGCACAGCCCTTGCCATTTACTTCCTAACAAGTATGAGCTGATTGCAAGCACCTGGAACAGGACGTATGCATCGGTACAGCTTATCCAGCAGGAAAGCTGGGGCTTTGAAGGACAAGGACTAATATTCTACAGAGGGCATCCATCAAAAGCATATCCAAAGATTATTAAAAATTAATATCAGGCTTTACAGCGCTACACCATATCATATCTCCCTCAAACATTACTGCAGAGCAGCTTACAAAAAGTATTAGTTTATCTGCAATTAAGTTGACTGCAGGTAACCCCTGCAGCTTTCCGCAAGGCACAGCACTACCAAGCATATCTTTGGTGCAAGAACTGAAAAAGAGCTTGCCCTGGAGCTACAGAGAGAACCAAATCCCCTGCTTCGGCTCCATGGTTTGCCTGGGCAGGTCCTGCCCAACCTCAACACTTTTCCCATTCCCACTGCAGCCTGGGGAGGAAGGCTGCTCGCCAGAGAGCCATGGGGTAGATGCAGCAGCACACCAAGTCCTTGGACCCACAGAGGCAGGGAGTGCTGGAAAAAAGCACTCATCTCCTCTCCTTTGCCCAGAGGATGTTTCTATAAGACAAGTTATGTATTTTTTCCCCAACACATTTTAAGGCACAGACTGGAAAGACAGATAGCCACAGGAGACCCCCTCCCCAGCAATGCAGTGCAGCTCCCCCAGCCCCACCAAGAGGGAGTTCTTACCTCTTTTTCCCCCACCTCTACCCGGGTGCTGCAACAACAACACAGAAGACAAAGGACACCCTCAGCATCCAGCAGCAGCAGGAGAAAGCTGCCCAGCCCAGCTCCTGAAGCCACCAGCTCTCACCAGGGGCCAGGCAGGGAAGGAAGCAGCAGCAGGTCCCACCCCACTGCCAGGTTCCTGCAGCCCAGCTGGAGCTCGTTACAGCCAGGGCAGGTACAGCAGCAGTGATTACAACAGAAATCTCGCCTAGTTCTGGCTCCATGCACTGAGGTAGGGGAGGGTATTTCATAAACCCTTGGGAGGTGAAGTCAGGATTGCTGCAAAACTAAACCTTGCTTCGATACACTGGATGGGTTTGGCTTCCTCTTGCTCCTGTGCTGTTTGTCTAGGAGAAAGTTCAGCACAATCTCTTCCGGGGGGAGCGATGGGCTCACACTGCTGTGACTTGTGCTGGTCATGCAAAGTGTTTGCAGAAATACGTTCTGGTAACTCCCTAAGGTGACTGGCAACCATGTGGCCACCCCTCGGACAGGCAGAAGGCTTGGGAGCACTTTCCTGGGAACACCTCCACATTTAAGTAACTCGGCTGTGTTCAGATCTGTCAGTTAAAGCTGGGCATGGAGGGCTGATTGCACTGATCTCCACATCCAAATACAATATTTGCTGACCTGTGCGAGAATTACTGGAGAACTTCGCCATGTACTCCTGATTTTATCAGTCTGATTTCTTACCCGGAAGGTTGGATGGCATTGCTGGTGTTGAAATGCACCTCAGCTACGCTTTGCATTTAACAGTTCTGTTGAACGCCTACATTTTATAGGTGTTTTAAACACTTATAATTTAATAGCCCTATTTAAACACCTCATTGAATTCTGAAAATAACTTCAGGTTTTACTACAAATTTCTTTTGCCGTGGAATGGTAATAGAGATTTAAAAAATGAGTTGAGTTGCCTGATCCAATATGTGCCACATTCATTCGGGGACAGAGCTTGTCACAGCTCTTTTTCAGTGCTAAGGCAGTAAAGTTTCATTTGCCTCCCTGCAGAGGGTGTTTTGCATACCATAAAAAAAGACCCTACAGCAGGAAAGTTTTCCTCTGTTCAGCATAACTATGCCTTTATCATCTTTTTCATTATGTCTCTTCATAATATGATAAATAATTCCTCTCCCTTCCTCAAAAACTGAACAGTTTCAGACTGCTGAGTGGTTTTTGTTCCCTGCCCTTCCCTGTTTAGCTAAGCTGTATGTATTTCACTCTGTCTTCCCAAAAAACAGCTCCTCTGAGCTGTAGTTGCTGGCAGGATGACTGCCTGCAGCTGAGGTAGATACTAAAAGAGAAACACCATCTCCAAAGGCAGTCACACCACCTTGAGGCCTGCTGCTTCAGGGTGTCTGTACACATGGGGCACAAACCACTCGGGCCCACGGCTGGGAACTTCTCTCCCTTTTGTCTCCCAACAGTTCCATCTAGATGGGCCAGTCTGATTTAATGGCCCATTTTGGCTCCTCCGTACAAACCACATCACGTTAGCCTGGTTCCACCCATGCCATTTAATCACTGCTCACAGCTTTCCTGAGCACTGGTTTAGGTTACATCTGTCTTCACTTACTTGACATACCTCTGAATGAAGTATCCTCTACGTCCAATTGACTCTGTCTTTCTCACAGAGATGTAGAAGGGACCTCATCATTGCTCCTGCCCAGCAGGTCTCTCCCCTAGCACTGCTTTTCCTCAAAAAACACCCCACCATGTACTCTTTGAAGAATCCAACCGTACCAAGAGAAAACGTCCCCACATCCAACCTCTGCCGGATTCAGAGGCAGCAGGGCCCACCTCATCTGTCCCCCAGCCAAAGCCCGGTTAAACTCCTGACAGCATTGTTCTGTGAGAAACGTGAACATTATGTCTGGCCGTGCAAACCTGTTGCACAGGAGCATATTTGAACTTGGATAAAAACATATGAAGCTGCCTTCGGGTGGGCACTGAGCCCTTAGGGGCTCTCAGACAAGGCCAGGAGATGATGGTGGTGGTGGGCAGCATCAGGCAGGGCCCCGGGGATGCACTGCTCTGCTCCACTGCCACACACACCGCTGCCAGCTACAGCCCAAGCTCTCCACATGTTGAATGCTGCTTTTACAGGGAAGTGTAGGCTCTGCTGCAGGTCTGTGTGGCAGCTACAGGCATTTTGAAACAATGCAACGTCACCTTCAGAGAGCACACCAACAAACAGTGCCTTTTGTTTTCCTTGGCATCGAGGGAAATTGCTGCAAGTACACACACATTTTCCTTGAATTTGGTCACATTTCTGTGTTTCAGGTCCACACAAACTTTTAAACACAAAGAGAGGATCTAACCCATGGGTTTATAGATTGTCCCCTGGGACTTACAAAGATTACATGAATCCATGAACCGCAAGAGTAAGAACCTGCAGGACTCTCAAGCGACATAAACCTGGTTTTAGGAGGGCAGGGCTTTAAAGCAAGTGAGGGTCACATTTAACATCTGTACTTTTAAATGCATAGTGCAAGCAGGTGAAAAAAGTATTTGGCACCATATTTGAGGCTTTACAGTGCTGCTTTGTGAACAACGAGTGAATTCCAGCATCTTGCTACTAAGGTAAATTATTTATGTACTTTTGTCATTTGTAAGACTGCCTATAGAGCTCATCAAGCCTATCAAAAGGCTGAAAAACTTGAAGCAGGCAATAAAGGGAATCAAAATATATTCAGCTTCAGGTAAATTAGATATTCCTAATGCATTCTTTTTTCCTGTGCAATTTGGCAAATTAGTTTACATTGTCTGACAAGTTGTCCTGGAAAACATAAAAGCTCAGATTAATTTTAGCTTTGTAGGGATTATAATTCAATATTTGCTTATTTACATCCACCCACACTAGAGCTAAGAGCCATATCTTCTGTGCCATGTCAGATACATCAATACCAACATGCTAAACCTCCTCCTCCTCCTCCTTTCCCACTGAATTACGAGGAGCAGAGGATGCCACGCAGGGAGGTGTCCCCCAGGCAGGAGGCAGCCTCACCTGCTGCCTCTGGGCCCCACAAGGAAATGCCTGTGCTACTATCCACAGACAGCTTTAACTCCGATGGGTTGTCTCAGAAATCTCTCCATCTACTATCTCTCTGCAGAGTTAATAGCACCTTGTTTTATTTGTTACCCTGTGGTGTTTACATGTATTTGTTTCCATGCATTGCATTCTGATGGATAGCTTTTTAATGATGCATACAACATTTAAGTGGTCTGCTTGTAGAGAGAAGAAAATGAAAAAGCCTCATGGGCTATTTCTGCATTGTAGTGAAATGATGTATAGTTTTGCACCAGGTGTAAGCCGGTCTTGGGGGAAGTATTGCTAAAGGAAGAAAACCAGAATCTGATCTAAAAAGAGCTCTGATGCTAAATGCATAAACTAGCCCCCTTGAAATAAATCTTTGCCTATTACAACTACTGTCTTAGGAATGCCAAAAAAAAAAAAAAAATCAATCAAAGATTAATTACTTCATTTCTTTGACCACTGTCATAGCCAGGATTGGTCCGCGCAGCATTTCCTGGATGACTTCATACGAATCCAGCAGTCAGTCTGTACTGCACACGGCAAAATCTGTGAGGTTTTACATGTTGACAAACAGCTGAACTCTGGGCTACAGGAGCCCTACATTGATCTGCTTACTATTCCAGGGCTCGTAGTTAGAATAGCTGAAATGCCTGCTGAATACCGAGGCTTAAAAGCCCTGTAGGGTTACCCCATGAACCATAGCCACATTTTTTTCCAATAATTGCAGAGCAAAAATAAAAGGGCAGTTAAACCTAGAGGAATTCTGCAACAGCAGCATGACCACTGCCCTCCAAAACCCCAGGCATTTTTCCGAGCACCGTTATAAATCGTTATCACATGAAGATGATGCTCTCATTTCTGAGCTTACAACATAATACAGTCTTAAATTTCAGTTTCCCTCATAAACTTACTGCAGCTCCGTGCACGTTATGAACTGCATCTGCTAATCTGTATTTGTGCAAGCCACCTTATCTAAAGGAAAAAGTGCTGCTTGATTTAAGATTCCTCGAGGAAATCTGTCTGTACATCTCCGGCTGGCAAGTAAAACAAACAGCATCCATGTCCCAGTAGGCATCCGCCACCCCCCGACATCGCTTCATTTAATTAGTTCTAAGGAAACTCGTCTATCCGAAAGCTCACAAAGCTGCACAAGAGAAATGCTTCAGTATTTATTTAGAAAATGAAATACATTACCAGACGCATTGTGAAGTTTCTGAGTCACCTGCAGGGAAATGAGAGAGAAATCTGACGTTCACGCAGTACTCCCGACTGTAGCAGCGCCCAGGCTGGCTTGTACAGAATAGCAGACGAGAGCGAAGCTGCAAACCTTGGAGTTGAGCTCACTCTATAGGCATCAGAAAACCTCAAAGAAAAAAAAAAAAAAAAGAGCCAGAGCGCGAGCAAGCGAGCAGCCCACAGACAGCGAGATGAGAAACTTCTGGCAACTCTCCAGCGCAGGAATGAATTCGCTGTCATTCAGAGACGTATAGCCATGGAAATGAAGGGAAACTCGGATTTACAGATGGGTCTGGATCCTGCTCTAATCGTTCTGCAAAGATGTGCAGGTTGCAGCTCTGCTCGTTTTATAGTGCTCATCCAGGAACAATGCTGGGTCAGGAATTAACCAGCATGCTAGGTGCACGCACACACAAATATATAGAATATATACATATTATATATCTACAAGCCAGGATGCCAGCACAAACTTCAAACAGGCAATTCTATCAGCTATTTGCGGTGAAGGTTATTACATCTGGCACAGAGGTAACTCAAATTCCTTTTCTGTCTCCAGGTGGATTCACAGTGGTTCATAGTGCTGTTTAGGCACTGAAGCAAATTTGTTTTCAGGGTTTTCAGTAGTACCAGAAAGCTAAAATCCATTTTATAAAGATAATTCACATGTTTTCAAGCACATGGCAAAAAGTGTCAGCACATTGAAACTGAGCTTGTCCAAATATTTATGCTTTTTAAGCCAATAAAACCAGAACACCCAAGTCCATAGCTGAAATAACAAGAAATACTGCTAGTCACAAGTTTCTCATACACAAGTCAGAAGACTCCATAAGACAGAGGTAACCAAGATCGCCTGATGTGTACACCTGGACCTGTAGAAAACGTAAAAAACTGTATTATTCATGAAAATGGGTAAGTTTGGTGTTTCTCTCTGAACATCTCAGGAATGCACAGCCTGCTGTGTTTAGATATTTTGCAGGCATGTATGCAAAATGAATGTCAACTCATAAAAAAAATTGTAAATAAACACTTCCTTGGCATGAAAAGGGAAAAGAGGCACCACGCAGTGTGGGTTAAACTGCATAGCCAAATTCAGCTTCTTTTATTCCCTGCACTGATAATGCACTAATTTAAAATCTGGTTACAAGTTCAGACAGTGTCTTGGTAAATATAGCTACTAATAATTACAGCTCTCAAAATTAGAAGTAAGGTTCCTGTAGATTTGGATTGCCTTTAATTTAGCTAACAAAGAAGAGTAAGAAGTCAAGCTAGGCTAAATAACTGGAGGGATTCTCTATTGCTTGTTTTCTTCCTATTAATAAATCAGTCCTCTGTGGGAAGAAAATCAAACAGTAACAAACAAACATGAATTCATTAGTGACACAGAAGGCAGTAGCGAGGAAAACAGAAGATCTCAAAGACAAAGAGCAAAGTATTTGCCTCCTATTTTTGGATACACAGAAGCAGCGACATCCTTCATGTCAGTGTGGTGCGACGTTGGGCTCATCTCTGCCAGATAAGCTCCCCAAAAGCTTGCTGTCTGGCTTGCATTGCCCATGGGCACTTTTCCCCAGGGAATAAGGGCGTTTCTGCGGGTGGATAGGCTGGTGTTAATAGCATCATTAGCCTAACGAGGTATGGATGATCAGGCATTTCAGAATGTGAAGCACTTGGTCCAGCCACGTGGCCAAAGCGGTGATTTGGACAGTCCACATACCACCACGGCCAGTTTGGTGCTGGGTGTTTTGTCTAAAACCATTGGTAAATTCCACTTTGAAGATGGGTCTCGTGGGTTTTTCTACACAGTGCAGGAAATGGGTACAGAGCATCGATGGGAGGAAGGGATGGCTGAAACCTGGGAAATGTTGCACCTCCAGCTCCCATCAGAGCACAGGGCACAGCTGAGAGAGGGTATCTGGGCTGTCTGCTCCCCTGGGCGCAGGCATGTGGGTACCTTGCAGATGCTGGGAGTAAAGCAGGACCTTCAGCCCTGATTGATTTGCACCACTCTAACGACCAACACGACAACCGAGGAGCCAGCGCCACCATCTGCAAGTAACCTCAGCCAAAACTAAGACAAAGCATCAGGGCTGCAAAGATGGATGAAAGCTCTGATCGCACAGAGGAAGCGGTGCCTGGGAGACCCGGGAAGGGAAGGATCGTACATCTTATTTTGCCAGCTCCCTGCCTCTGCAGATGCCTTGTGCTGCCGTGGCACAGCGAGGCCCCACGAGGCCTTCCCACACATAGTGCCTGATGCGCACTGACCTCCAGCCCTGCTAACCCAGCACCGCCTCGCGACGAGCAGGAGGAAGAAATATTTTGTAAATATCCTGTCCCCATTATGGCTCCCTGTTGCAGTGTTTGTGCATTAGCACGCCTAGTTCTGACAACTATTTTGGCGTGTGAAAGGAAACACGGACTTTTCCGACGGGGAGGATGCTGAAGCTGTCACAACCCATCAGGGCTGCACGCTCCGTGGTGCTGTGCCAGCAGAGAGGTGTGGGTGCATTAGCTACACAAGGGATTTTCATGATCTGGAGTCTGTCTGAATTACATATAGCACTGAAAGTCTGAAATGTATAATGTGTTCAGTATGTGTGTGTGTATATATATATATTTATTTATTTATTTATTTAATTTCTCCTTTGTCTCCATGAGACCAAAGAGAGATCATTATCAACAGATAATGAAAGTTGCCAGGCTGATGAAGCATGTTTTGCTCCAAACTAATGCCATGTGAGTATTATTTTTTGTTGTTGCTGTTGTATTTGCTGCCTGGCAGTGCGCTGTGCACATTGCTTATCTTTGCTGGTGTCCCCCCACAACCACACCACCCCAGCTCACAGCTCCAGCACGTCATTTAGCTGGACACACGATTATTTTCCTCACAGCAAAGACAGAACTCAAAGCACCTTGGACTGAAACTGCGTTAAGGTCAGTGTTACACATTCTTTATGTGAGATTTCTTCCCTGGGCTTTGGATTTCTGCCCCCAGACCCTTCACGAAGTGCCCTTCCTTCCCTCACAGCCGACTGACAGCCTCCACCTCCCCGCTCCGAGCAGTCTCACTAATGACTAAAGCAGAGAGCAATATCACTGAGAGAAACAAGGAAAATGTCTTTTGCACTTCTCCCATGCTGTCAAAAACTGGGCAAGACAGCTTTGCCTAGCATTATGCACTCTGTCACAAGGATTTGCATTTCACCAGTTTCCTGAGCTTTTGTTCATAATCACCTGTGTTTTGAAACAGAAACAAAAAAATAAAAACAATTCAGAAGAAGAAAGAAAGAACAAAGTAGACAGCGATGCTGCACCCCGGCTGAGCCCCCTCACATGCCAGTACATTGACAGAGAAGGCAAGTGACTTCCTCATGGCCCCACCATGACAAACCTGGGCAGCTGGGGCTCCGTGTGGAAGCGAGCTTGTCCCTGGGCCCCAGCCCCAAACATCTTTAGGCACCTGATGTCGCCTGTTGCTTCTCCTTCCACCCATGAGACCTGAACTGGGCAAAACACAGCTACACGGCACCCACGGTGGCAACTTGTACAAAATCTTTCCCAGACACGATTGCAGAGGAAAGGATAAGAGGACTTTCTTCTTCTCAAAGGAAAGAAGCTTTGGGTGCCTTCAAATAATTAATAATCTGAATTGCTCTATCTGTAAGATAATAATACCTCAATAGAAAGAGATCTGATTTTTATTATCCAATTTTTATCAGATATTAAAGTTAACTGCCAGTTCATATAGGTTAAAGAAGGCTAGGTACGATCAGGGAAGGAGGACCTCTTTCTATGAAGATACCAGGTCCATCAGAGGCAGAACCTGCTCCCTTCCCTCTTCCTGGCATCCCTGTCCCCTGCAGATCCCAAGGGACCACCGTGTGCCCGCAGTCTCTAGGCCTCGGGCAGGAGCTGGACACATCTCACCCCGCTTTGCTGGGCCACCCACGGGACCTGCAGCTCCTCCTGGGCCCCTGGTTCCCTGCTGGTGAACGGGGACCTGTGGGGTCCGTCCCTGCCACCAGGAAGCAGGAGGAGAGCGGACTCGTGTCCCGTGTGCTGTGTCAATGCATCTTCCCAAGGCTGTAAGGCTACGTGGGGAATTGCTCCATGGTTTTAGCCAGCACAGGACCTAACAAGCAGACTTTCAATGTAATCTGGTTTTAAAAGCCTTGAAAGGCTGGCTAAAATGTGCTTATTGTGTACTAAAGAAAACGTATCCTATAAATAGCATATTAATCTTTTATGGAGATCAGCTATGGCTGGAGATTTTCAGCTACACACTCCTAGAATGCCAATGGAAAAGAAGAGCAAAGCTGGCTCTGTCCGCTCCAATCCCATCCCTCTGGGGAGCTAATTAGCCAGGAAGCACTTGCTGAAAATTTTCAGCAATCTCTTATTACCGTATCTGTTTGTGATTTCAACTCCTGGATAACACAGCCAAACAAAAGCTACTGGACGGCTCCAACAGCCTTCATCAGGTTTCAAGGAACAGGCTTTAATATAGTTAAAAATGCAATTACTGAACTGCCTCTCTAATTCAAATATTTTGCTAAGCAGAAGTTCTCTCATCCCGCCCGCGCTCAGTCGCTTCCAGACATATTTATCCAACAAAAAGGGCCCTGCATCTGGCTCGCTTTGGCAGCACCACACCAGGGTATCAGTCTGAATCTGCAATTCCTTTCAGAACTACAGGTTTCATTTTAAGCCTGGAGAACGCAGATTCCTAGAGTGCACAGAGACCCGCAGAAGACACCGGTGTCATCGTGGCACGTCATCATTTTCTGGTGTTACACATGGGTTTCCATGCTCTCTTCTGTTACCGCACCATCCAGCTTTGCTTCTCAGAGACATCCCCGGGGTCAGGCATTCATTTCAGCAGATGGGAGGAGGATGTTTGAGGAAGGTGCTGCTCTGGCAGCCACGGGGATCACCCTTTGTCCTGGGGCACATGCAGTGAAACTCCTCTTCTGGTATGCAGAGCCCCAACTCTCCTACTCGTTGCTTTCAAACCCTAGGTTTTGCCTCAGGTTGCCTTGCCTGGATGAAAAAAGATTTCTCCTGTGTCATGTATGAATGCATGAAATAGAAGTATTGTGTATTTGAATAAGCTTTTATGATTAAACAGTTAATTTGAAATGAAACAATTTCACATAGAAACACCTGGCAAATGCTAGTTTTGGAGAGGGGAGTACCTGGAGAGGACTTTGCGTGCTCCCATCTCCATCAGCAGCTACCTTCAGTGCCTGCATTTTGGTGGCATGAAATCCCCCTCCATCCTCCCTTCAGCTTACTAAACCCCAATGTTCTAAAAGATTCTATTGCCTAAAGCAGGAAGGGGCATTATTTTCTGAAAAAACACAGCTGGTAACACAGAGCTAGAATTTAGTTTCTAAAAGCAAAGGTAAGCGGCTCCAGCCCTAATTTGCAGCTCCCCGTGGCTCGGTTTGGGAGCTCGGGCTGATTGATGCACACGTAAAGATTTACAATGCAAAGCAAAGAATTACTGATTAAAAGGAATCCACAGCATTTCAGGACCTTAATGAGTTGCTGGAGAAAATTAATTTCCATCTGTAATATATGCAGAGACTATGAGGAAATCTTAGAATTTAATTAATCACAGCATTAAAAAGTTATTGGATATAATTGTAAGTAAATACTGCTTAATTATTCTTCTAACACCACAACTAATTTAGAAGTCATTTCCCATGGCACTATTGCTGGTTCGGTTTGCTATGTATTTGTTGCTTCAACCACAGTTTAACCAATTTTTGAAATAATGGCACTTTTTCAACATCTCCATTGCAAAACCAACACATTTGTAGCACAAAAGCCCCTTACAGCCTCGGGGCAGTATGGTGCAAAGCCCAGACTGGCTAGGAAAAGCAGCAGAAATAATAGAGTCGCAGTAATTTCTCTTTAAAGTCAGCACTGTCATTCCCATCTCTTTTATTAGTGTCCATTTGTAATTAAGTCGCATGCCCAAGACCCATTTCAGTGACGCTTCCATCCCTCCGATTTGCTTGTGAATCCTGCTCTATCTAAAGCTTTACGGTGCTCTTTCATTTGAGAGGCTTCTCAGAGCAGCGTGTAACGCTACATTGAGTGAGCGATGCATTTTACAAGCTCATTTATCTCAAAAATATTTATTTTGAAAGCCCTTGCACTGCGCAAGGAAACAAGTGGAAGCACTCTGCAAGCATTTGTCTTCCCGCCGGCCGCTCGGCGAGATGCCCTTGCTCGTTTTAAGTGCCATCCCTGCTGATTCCCACAGAGCTTACATCAAATCCAGACACTGCATTTGTCAGTCCCAAGAATGAATGGAAGACTTCAAAATGCCCTCCTGGTTCCTACTGACACCGGTTAAATTCTCTAAAATGCCTGCACCAGACCCTTGCAAGGGAACCTGAAGTCTCAAGCCCATAGGCAGCAGCCACTGGAGCACTGCTGGAGGGCTTCTGGCTGCTATTGGGAGACAAAACCCTTAAATAACTGAGAGCAGACATCGCTGTACACTTCTGTAACTATCCTGCATGAGGAACACCAGCCCATCAGCTCTATTGCTTTAGCACTCTGAACTAAGTCCACCATCCTTGCTGAATTTTGAGCCAAAATCGATCTGGAAAAAAAATAATTGTCTTACTTTGGTACTAAAACTTCATGCTGGAGAGCAAACAGCCAAGAGAGGTCACCGTGCTGACTGTATTTATTAGCCCCTCCTCGAAGAGCCCCCAGGTGCCCTTCCCTACGGCTGGGAGCAGCCCTCCCCCTGCCTCACATCTTCTGGTGGCTTCACTCCTGTTAATTATGGTTTTTAATTAGTTGTTAGCGGTGCCTGGGGAATAAGATAAGCGGTCTCTCCTGATTTATAAAATTTAAAAGATGGCATCGGTCTAAACAACATAAAACCTTAGCTCGCCACTAATTGCCCTGCCTGGAGCAGCTCCGGGATGCTGCAGCCCTGCAGCAGGGAGCTCCATTGCTTTTAGCAGCGAGAAACATTTTGCAGGGAATTCATGGGACTTCACAGGACTGTGTGATGTCCCAGCAAGCCCCCAGATTTAAACAATTTAACTTTCAGAGCCCTTGGCCTGAAGAGAGATAGTCTTATTTGTATTGAATTATTATTATTATTATTTTTTTTTTTTGAAACGAACTTTGCTGAAAGAAAAGCTTCTCTGATAAAGGACACCAACCACTATATAAATATAAATTACCCAGTTTTAAACGCTGTCTTTCAGCTCAAAGAAATGCCACGACTGCTGGGCAATTCCCCGGGGTGAGGCCAGGCACACAGCGTGCGGGCTGACACACAATAGCTGCCTCGCTGGCGAGGAGTGAAGGGCCATTTGTGGGATTTCAGCACGCGGGAAGACTAACATGTCTATTAAAAGAAAAATGTGAACTCCGGGTCTCTCATCAGGGACTCATTTAAATGCAATTTTGCTAAATTAGCTGCACTAAGGAGCCAGTGGAGGAAGGCTAACTGTAAACCCAGATAAAATAGCACTTCTTTGATAATAGCGATCCATATTAAAGGACTCCAGTGGATAACAGGTCATTAATTGGTAAACATTTTTTTAACCCAGTGTATCCTAAAACAAGCCCGGAACTCAGCACCTGGTTCTGCATCTGGCAAACTGAGGGTTTCCCATATTTCAGTGAGGAATTCTGAACGCATCGTGTGTATTTAGACAGGGAGGGAAAGAGCTTGGGCCCTGTTTGACCTCAAACACTCGTGAGACTTCCCAATAGAGGATTGGGAAGGGGGAAGAATGCCTGGACAAGGGGATATGAGGCAGCACAGGGTTACCAAACAATAGGCACAATACTTATTTGTGATGAATTGTCGGTTCCATAGAGGTGTCTGTCAGATTTTGGCAAGGCGTTCACTACATGGTGAGCCAGGTAAATGGGAGAGCAGGGAAAAGGGCTGCTGTGTGCAGTCCAGCCTTGCTCAATACTTGTTAAGGCTGGGTGGGATGGAAACCTTTTTTCTCAGAATCCTTCCCAAAGATGTTTGTGGAGCACCAGACCTGAAAGCCTTCCCTGTCGAGCAGCCCTTGTGCCTACAGAGATGGTTATCGGCAACTGCATACCCCTAGTGCCTCCAAAATGATCACAGTGTGTGAGGAGCAACTGGTGGTGAGACTGCCTGATCCACAATGCTGCCATGGGAAGTCCCCTGTGAGCCACCCAGAGGGGGTCTCAGGGGAGAAGGAGCTGGTGCTGGCACCATGAGATGCTCAGAGATGCTTTGGGAAGCACAGCCAGCCCTCACAACAAAAGCGATATGCCCTAATGCCCACCTGAGCATAATTATTTTAATTGGTTTACACTCAAGAATGCTGGCACAATATCCTTAATTAATGGCAAGTGTAAGGAGGAACTCTCCATGGGATGTCAAACCATCAGCGCCAGTGGAGTGAGCAGGGAAGCGGAGCTGTCCCAAGGTGACCCTGGCAGGGTCCTGGAGGCTGAGGACAGAGCCCACCACCCTGGGTAGGCAGCTTCCCTTCACCAAGAGCTGAAGCTGGAAGCAGGACCTCTCCCAGGCACAGAAAGCACCCACCCCCCTCCCACTGCCCCCATATTTTTATGGGAAAGTGCAGCAGGTCCAGGCCCTTCATGTGGCAGCCGTGCTAGGCTCTAAGACCAGACCTCCACATTTCCTCACTGCTGCGCATCTCAATTATACGTGAAACCTATTGGATTTCACTCTTAAGAGGACATTTCCTCTAATTTCCTAAAAACATTCCTCTCATTACTTCTTGAAATTTAAAGACGGCAACACTTGAAGACAAAAAAGTTTTTGTCAAAGCACCGGGCAGTTATTAATGATAATCATAAAAGATTAAGTTTTCAACATAATTAGCCAGTGACAGGTCAATAAAATCCCTAGGCCAGATGGCTTCTTAACTGAGTTTTCAAAGAAATTTGGTAATTATAGGAACCACCCTCAGAGATACTCAACTTTTCTTTTTAATGAAATCGCATAATGCCGGATTATGCAAGAAAGCCCAAGATGAGTTTCAGCAAACCGCACAAAGACCTCTGCACCAGCCGTTTCTGCGTGCCTCTTCACACCCCTCACCCCTGCAAGAGGCTCTCCTTTATCTAAGGCTGGAATCAATACATTAATCCATATAGATCAGCCTGGATTAGCGCGAGAGACGGCTTTCACATCACAGCGCCGATGGTTTTTCCTAGAGGCAGTTTGTTACTACACGCTACGTGACGGGCTAAAAAATAAATCCTCATTTCAGCACGCAGGTATTCCGCTCTGCACCTGCCTCAGGACGCAGGTATTTTGCTGCCCTCCTCTAGCCCCATGAGGTTGGGGTCCTGCAGCATATGGCAGAGCACGGACCATGGTGCCAGCCCCTTCCCCATCCTTCCCCCCTTAACCCCATGCCCTGAGCAGTGCAAGTCCAGAGGTGTTAAGACAAAAACTCATAGAGCTCAGAGTACCTTGACCAAGGTGTTCATGAAGGTCTCGTCCTTGTTCTCCTCCATCAAAGCCCAGGGCCGCAGCCTCACAAGGTGCAGATGAGGCTCACTACTGTGCTTACTATTTACTAACGAGTTCATTAATAAAATCAGAGCGAAGCCAAACCTAATGCATGACACCTTGTGTTTTGGAGTAACAGGTGCGCAAACTTTGGATTCATTATAGTTTGTGTGAATTAAATGTCACCTGGGGAAAGCTCACCATACCAGTTCTAATTTAGGAAAATAATGATTTTTTTTGAGCCATGATAACGTCTTTTCTGATTCAATTTCAGTGCCGTGTTTGGGGAAGAGCCACCACCTCCACCACCATCTGCAGCAAGCCGCACTCAGCACCTGCTCCTGGGCACACCAGGGAAAACGACACAGTGGGGAACAGGAGCTCCCAGCAGGACACTTCAACCACAGCAGCAGATAGCTACAGGCCCCCAGAGAAGCCCCTAATTAATCCTATTGCTATTTTAGATGGTAATAACCCCCATCAGTAGTTAAAGCTGGTAGCCCAAAACACAAGCATGCTGTTGCATATCATGTGGGCAGGGTGTGGGGCTGTGCAGCCAGGCTGAGCTTGCAGACCCCAAGGAAACATCGCAGAGAGCTGAAGGCGATGCCAGTGCTGTTGACGTGGATGGGGATCTGCAGCTGTGCCTTCTTCAGCCTCACCCTCATCAGGATTTGGGCCACTTTATTGAACAAATTCTCCACTCGGCAGCAGTTTGAATAAAACCTGTCCCTAAAGTGTAACCCATAGGTTTCCATGTTTGTTTTAAAATGCTAACTGTATGCCACTGGGTTCTTGTTTTTCTACCAGCTCCTGCGAAGAATCTGCCCTTTCTCTGCACAACCACTTGTTCTTCACAGAGCTCTGGGTTTTATTTTATTTTTTAATTTTCACTCTGAGGACTGTTTTATCATCTCTCCATCAGACTTGCCTCCTGTGCCTGTATTATTGAACAACCTCTCACAAAATTATGTATGAAACAGTCTGTTCTAATGGTTTGGATGCAAGCCATGTACAATACCACGAAGTCTCTCCAAAGTCAAACTCAGAAGACCACCACCACCCAACAGCTATGGCAATACTTGCTTGTTTTCATCATTTGCTGCATGATTCAAGTACCATAGAGAATAGAATGCTATCAGCCAAATAAGGGGCAATTTATAGTTACACCAGATATTGATATGAGTTAAATGGAAGACTCAGTATTTAAAAAATAGCCACTTGTAGGAGAAGATAGCTGGGGACTGGGGAGGGCTTGAATAAATGTGGTTGTGGATGCTTCAGAGCATAAATCACCGTGGGTGATAATGTACAGAAGCAATGTTAAATAACACGTTAATTCATGTATCAAAGAAAATTGTGATAGCTTCTTTATTACATTTGTATCTTAGCTCATTAGGGAAACGAGCTCTCCTCCACCGTGAAGCAAGCGAGGCATTTATTGCTGCTGACATTTCATCAATGCCAAGGTGAACCAGTCCTCACTCCTGCAAACCCTCGCAGCCCTCGTTACGGGGACCGATAAAGATTCATGCACAGACCTGGAAGTGTCTGGAAGGAAGTAAGACGTGTGATGAACTGAGGTTTGAACAATAAATCTGTGGCTGACTGACGACAGCTTGACTGTAGTGTGCTAAATAGGGCTTTATAAACTGAAATGCAAAAGACCTGAACTGCAGCATGTGTCAGCAGTAGGCTGAGGTAGAATCGAATTTGTTTAAATTCACGATTCTTAAGCCGGCGGTGAAGATGCAAAGAGACTTCCCAAACCCACTTGTTAAAAACACCTCCGTGGCCATCTCCTCCTGCTTCTCTCGTGAGCCTGGCTGTGCCTCGTGCTCCACAGAAGGGAAGGGGGGAAGGCCCCCTTTGTAATCAGCACCCAAAGTCAAGCTACGATCTCTAATGCCCTCATCATAGCAAATCTACTGATCCGCCTTTGTCTTCTGAACAATGGGCATTAATTCTCCCCTGGGGATACAAAAAGCTGCCTTTTCCCTTGATTTTCACCTGCAGACGGAGTCCTGTGCAGCTGCTGATCACCCAGCCCCAAGCACAGCGCTACGGCAGGGGAAGGGCTGAGCAGAGGAATGGGACAGGAGGGGAGAAGAAGGAACACAAGACTGTCAAAGTCATTTTCAAGAATTACTTTATTTTATATTTATCTATAATCACGCATATACATACGTACACAGTCTTTGTCTTGGTTTCTAGGCGTGTGTGTACAATGTATAGGATACAGGGTGTATCTCACCAACTTTCT